CCTCCCGCACGGCTTATTCTCAACCAACACACTCGAGCCGATTGTGTTGAAGCTGACGTTACCACATCTTGAGCTTTCGAGGATGAAGAATGTGCAGCAATGGTGATGGAGCAAACAATCGGGGTCAGCAGCGAGCATCGAGCTGGATGCGGCTCTTTCCGTCGCCATGCAGATGCACGGACCATTGCGGATGAGGTTTGCCGCCCGATAGATTGGATCATGCTAGCCCGCTGTGGGCCCAGCGTCGATTCGCCGGTCGATCCCAGCGGCCGCGCGCCATGCCCGGTCGACGCGGCCCAAGCGTCTCGCTCAACGTTGCCGGTCATGGTCGATGCTTGGCCAGCTTCGTCCATTGTAGCCGACGAAGCTTCCCGCTTCCAAGCCACATTGCAAGTCTCTGAGCTCATCGCGCCTTTCGCAAGGGAATCGACGGCAAATAAGCCTGCGGGAATCTACATGCGCAAGCAAGCCACATCTCGGCTGAAAACATAGACAGCAGGTCGATACGAGGGCGTGCACAAAGATTCCTGGTCGCGCCGAGTTGTGATGCCGTCGGCACGGAGCAGAACTGGCCCTCCTCCCCAGCACACGTCCCGACGGTCATGCGTAGCTCGATGAGGAGCCACCAGTCCGGACTTCTTTTTCCTCGATCCGAGCATCAAGGCGTTGCTAGAGCCATAGAGTTCTTGGTAGTGGACAGAGCTTGATTCGGACATCTCGGCAATCTCGTCACTGGCTGTTCCTGACCTAGCTATAGTAGAGCACATGCTGATCTGATCGTGCCTGTCTTCTGCAGTCCTGTGGCTCGAAACGATCACAACAGCGGTCCTTGGCCGTTCAGATGGAGGCCGATCGACCACGTGAACAAAGGCAAACGCCGTAGCGTCCGCTCAGCTCCATTGTGCGTGACGAGATGCACCGGCAACGTCAGCCCCTCCCAGTCGAGCGGTCTGTCGCATGGGGGAGAGGCACCGGCGTGGTCCATCTCCTCGCATTGTTGTCGAGCCTGTAGCCCGAGTGTCGCTCGCAGGACGTCGCCTTGTCTTGCCAGCATGTCGATGCTCAACTGATGCTGACAAATGCTGATCCGAGCAATGCCACCACCTGCAGCACATATCCGCCAGAAGTCCCGCTTTGCTGTCCCGAGTCGTACAATGCGGCAACTGCGCTAGCCCAGACTTTCCAGCCAGGCTGGTTGATTTGATGCTTTTTTTCGAAGCCATTCGAACAATCGGATCCTTTCTGCTCAACCATGTTGGCTTCCGTTCCGACATAGACGCAAATTGCTACTCCGTAGACACACGCCTACAGCAACCCGGAAGCAGATCACGGTCCGGTTCCGTCTAGACCTCACGAGAAACGGCCGCCTTGTTTCACGCTGCGCCAGATGATTCCTGGGTATGAAAGCCAAGCACATCGCAGTACTGGACCCCATATGTGTACAGCAGCAATTTTCGTTCGCTGCTTCGCCTCTTTCTCTTCCCTTGCACGATCGCTGAGCACCGCCGCACCGCTTTTCGACGTCGAAGCAAGCTCCAAGACCCGCTTCTGCGAGGAAACGCGGAGCTGCACACCGTGTCGCTTGCGCTTAGCGAGCTGCAAATCGGCTCGCATGTCGCAGCGCCGCGGATCCAGTGGATGCCGGTCGACTCGGTCAACGCTTTCTCCACATTTCGGTGCCACTCGAGTCTCCGCTTGCAACGTCCGGCGGGCGACCCCGCTTTTTTTGTCGTGTTGGCAGGCTTCCATGCAAGACGCCCGGCGTCTTCTGCCTGCGATTTCTTCGGGAATCTCTTCCTTGCCCCCCCCC